CTGCACAAACCAAGCCTAATTTCTCTTCAGTGTATAATCTCTATATTCTGGAAAAAAAGAAATGAAAACTATAGTCTCCTCCCTGCAGTGTTTCCTGGTGAAACTGTCTCTGTCACTTCCAGTGTTCTTTATGAAAAAGAATTTTGAATTCCCCTACAATTCTGGCTGGGTCTTCTAGATTTGTGCTGCTCAAATTTTAATGTAGTGCTGATTATGATTTAGAAGGTCCCTCCTGGGTGGCGTTGTGGGTTAATGCACTGGACTACAAAGTCGGTTTGAACCACAAGGTCGCCGGTTCAAATTCACCAGTTGTTCCTCAGAAACCCTATACAGGGTTGCTAAGGGTAGGAACCGACTTGATGGCAATTCACAACAACAACAGAGATCATGCATTAAAAGATGTAAGTTAATTTTGAGATAATTGCCACTTGTTTTAATTGAGAAAATTCATAGGATGAGTTATGTGAGACCAATAGTTTGCAAGAGAGAGAGAGAGAGAGAAAGAGCATGGAATAGTAGAAGAAATATTTCAGAAAGATTTTGCTCGGACATGCACTCACATACCCATACTATGATTTATGCATATAACATACCTATGTAAATACATGGGCACACAAATAATGTGCATAGCAGCATAGCATGGGTAGGAAACTAACACACGTGGGGCTTTCATGGTGGAATGCACATGCATCCATGGTGAAAAAGCCTCCATATCATCAGCCAAAACAAGTGCAAGGGCAGACTGAACTTGCTCATATTCAAGTTCATTCTGAAGCTGAAGATAATTAAAACAAGTCTACAACAGCCAAAATATGACTTTGAACATGGAGGGGGTAGGGCACCGTACAGTCAGTTCTGACTCATAGCTATGCTGTATAGGGTTTATGAGGCTGTACATCTTTACGGGAGCAGAAAATCTCATCTTTCTCCTGTGGAACAGCTGGTAGTCTCAAACTGCTGACCGTGTGATTAGCAGTCTGACTTGGCAGTAACATACTACCAGAGCTTGAAGATATTCCACTTGAATTTAGAGATCATCTGAAGAATAGATTTGGTGCATTAGGCACTAAATACCAAAGACCAGAGAGTTGTGGGATGACATCAACAACATCATACAGGAAGAAAGCAAGAGGTCATTAATAAGTCAAGTAAGAAGTAAAAGACCAAAGTGGATATCAGAAGAGACTCTGAAACTTTCTCTCCACAGTAGAGATGCTGAAGCAAATGAAAAAAAGAGAAGCTAAAAGAGCTGAACAGAAATTTTCAAAGAACAGCATGAGAAGACAGAGTTAAATACTGTAATGAAATGTGCAAAGACCTGGAGTTAGAATACCAAAAGTGAAGAACACATTGAGCATTTCTCAAGCTGAAAGAACAGATGGAAAAATGGCACCTAATGATAACAACGTTCAGTGAGTCAAGTATCAACTTTGAATAATGAAGGATTCTATGGGCAAAATGTTGAATGATTCAGAAGGCATCAAAAGAAGTTGAAAAAAATATACAGAGTCACTGTACCAAAAAGAAATTGTAGATGTTCAGCCATTTCAAGAGGCAGCATATGATCAGGAGCCAATGATCCAAGGTGCATAGACGGCATTGGCAAAGAACAAGGCTCCAGGAATTGATGGAATAAAAATTGAAATCTTTAAAAAACTGATACAACACTAGACGCACTCACTCATTTATACCGAGAAATTTGGAAGGCAGCTACCTAGCCAACAGATTGGAAGAGATCCATATTTGTGCCCATTCCAAAGAGGGGTGTCCCAAAGAATGGAGACATCATCAGAGAGAATCATTAATATCACAAGCAAGTAAATTTTCCTAAAGATAATTCAAAAACAGCTGCAACTGTACATTGACAGGGAACTTCCAGAGGTTCAAACTGGATTCAGATGAGGGCATAGATTGAGGGATATCCTTGCTGATGTCAGATAGATCTTGCCTGAAAGCAAAGAATACCAGAAAGGTGTTTGCCTGTGCTTTATTGGTTATTCAGAGGCTTTCAACTGTGTGAATCATGACAAGCTAT